AAGTTTTGTTCCGATAGTTTTCTTGGCTTTAAAATTCCTATCTCTGGTGATAACATCACCTTTTTCTTCCTTAGTGCATAGAGGGTACTTTTCATACAGAAGATTTATTTCGTGCTTTCAGGAGGACTTAGGAGGGTGTGAGTGTCCTTGCACCAGCTGGGTCCCATGTAACTTTAACACAAAATCATTAACATGCCGTTTCGGTACGTTTTGGGCATCTACACTTTTTCGTGTGCTGTATTCTTATGACGGCATTCTGGGTGTGTGTTTATTTATATTTTCCTGTTTGGAGCTCTGTGTGCTTCTCTCATTAGATGATGCTTCCATTCTGAAAAATAGCAATTTATCATCTCTTTGAACAGGGCTTCTCTCCCTTCTGGAACTCTCTAGGACTCTGTGGTACTTGATCAGCACTTAGCGGGACCCTCTCACAGCCTGACCTCTCACAGCGCCCTTCAGCCCAGAGTCACCTTCCCATGGCTCATGCTCAGGCCCTCTCTTCTGTCAGAACAACTTTACCAGGCCCTTCCCTGAGCAGGCTTTGGAATCGCTCCTCTTCTACCGTTTAAGAGCCACTCATCCTTCAGAGAGGTTTTGCTGACTTTTTTTTTTCTTTCTATAAAGTCTTTTTTTGTCTGTTATGAATAATTGTTTTTTGTGGTTATCCCAAATGATTTTATAAATTTCATAATTTTATATGCCTGACTAGTATCCAAGAAATATCAAAAGTGCAGTCCCCATCCAAAAAAACAAATGGGCATACTGAAAGGCTCTGATTAAATTGATTATTTTCAGGAATAAAAGTAACTATATCCTCTTTCATTAATTGGATGGTGGTTTGGTAAAATTTTTATACTTTTAATGATTTTTGGTTTTCCATGGTGTTTTCTTAGCAACATTCTACCAAATTACAGCTTTCCAAAAGTTGTAGTTTTGTGTATAATTCTTTAGTATGATTTTTGCTGACTTTTTGATGGGCTGTTTTTATTCTCCTCTTACAGTATCTCGGTCTGTCATTCAGAGCTCCTAGAAAATGCATACTTTTACAGTTATTGGTTTGAGTATCTAATTCATGCTGGGTCCTTCCACTGAATTCCCTGCTCCACAAGGACGTTGCAGTTGACCTTTATAAAGTCCACAAGTTTGAACTCTGGAGGTCCACTTATATGCAGATATCTTTCTAAAAATACAATACTGTAAGGTACTTTCTCCCTTATGATTTCCTTAATAACATTTTCTTTTCTTTAGTTTACTTTGTGTTAAGAGTACAGTAGATAATGCATACAACATACACAATTGATGTTTGTCAACTCTTTCTGTTATCAATGAGGCTTCCAAGTCAACAGTCCACTGTTAGTGGTTAAGTTTTGGGGGTTCAACAGAGACATAGCTTTGCACAGTAGAAGCAGCACCCCTAAGCCTTGTGTCATGCAAGGGTCAACTGTATTTTGTCTGTTTTAGTTTTTCATTTAATAGGCACTTGGGAAATAACGACAAGGAGACTAAAACCCACCAGCAGCTATAGAACTGCATGAGAGGCCCAGGCAATACTGATTCATCTCTAAGCAGCAGCCTCCCTCCCTTGAGAGTGGACCAGCTTTGTCGTCTTCCCTGTAGATATGTAATTGATATAAGGCTCAGGGTAAAGAGTCTCTCCAGGTGAGATCGTGCACAGTACCTGTGAGCCTGGACCATCCCCCATCTCTCACATTCTTCCCGTGTCCTCCCACTTTAATTTCTGGGATGTCTGGGCTAGAGCTATAGACTGTGCCATCAGACTAGATCATTTCTGGATAAATCTCTTTCCCCCTATTTTATTCTAGAATAACTGATCAGATGTGACTTTGCAAAGTAACAACTTCAAAACTCAAATGAGAAAGAACACGTTTTCATTCATTCTTTTTTGTTTGTTTGTTTGTGTTTTTGTTGTTGTTGTTCACTCTTAAACTAAAAAAGTAGCCTTCAGTGAATTTATTTAACAAGTATTTATTGAGCTCCTTTTAATTGTCATTCACCACTTTAGGACTTTATGTCTCAGTAGTACCAACAAACATGGTCTCTGATCTCACCGAAATGAGAGTCTAGAGAGGAAAGACTATTCCAGGACTCCTCCTACTCTCTAAACACAAAGTATGCAAATGCTTTCAGTGAAAGAAATAAAGTTCCCTGTGAATATTTAACAATTTCACCTGACCCACATGGGAAATTGCAGGAGAACAGGGAAGGCTGAAGTCATGAGGGACTCCTGAGCTAAGGCTTTAAGTCAACAAAGAGGAGGTGTCAAAGCATTTCAAGAAGAAAAATTGGTATGTGCAAATGTCCTATGGCAGGAAGCAGACTGACAATTATGAGGGTCTATAAGAAGACCCAGGAGGTTTGAGAACAGAAAAGAAAAGGGAAATTTATTAGAGCTGAGGATGGAGAGTTATTTGAGGAGAGGCAGTAATGTGCTGACTGGGTCTGGCTAAAAAGGACCAATTGTTCTATTTTCAGAAATTTTGTGTGAGCCTGCTGCTAAATAAAAACCAAAATATAGAATCACTGAACTCTACTTCTGAAACCAATGATATGCTCTATGTTAATTGAATTGAAAAAAATTTAAATTTGTATATATTATATATATACTCATATTAAGTAAATTACATTAAATACAAGGCTTTCTAATTGTTCTCAGTCATTCTTAATCATTTTACTACATTCTACCATTATCTGTGCTCCTGAGTTTATTTTTGCTGATTCTACTGGCCTGTAGAAGCATCTCTGCTGCTATGTCAGTGAACATTTCTTCCCAATCTCAAATGCAGTGATGTCATATTTGCTACCTTGAAATTGATCAACGTGGGAATTTACACCAAAGAAATTGGCAAACTTCTCAAATCAAAACTCCCTTACACCTCTAAGAACCAGTTTTAAACATTTACCAGCACAACAATGAGGGAAACTATACACGACCTTGGAGACGGTGTTAAGAATTGATCTTTATCACAGGAGAAATGAACAGGCATTGAAAGGTTTTGAGCAGGGAGTTGACAGCAAGAGCACATTTCTGTTTTAGAAAAATCACTGACACAACAGAATTGAAAGAAGGAACAAGGTGACTTCGGGGGACCCTGTGGTAAATAATGGTGGCTCAAAGAGGACCAAAGAAATGCAGAGAAGTGGGTTTGATATATATATAGAGCTAAAATTAGAAGGCTGAGCTCTGTGTGACAGTAGCAAGAAACAATCCCTTAAGACCCTCATGAGGAAGAAGTAAAATCTCTCCATCCTCCCTACCATTCTGGATGCCAACTATGTTTTCATTTTGAGCCCAATTCTGCCACCCTGTGTCAAAGAGCCAGCTTCACAGTGGAACACACTGAGACCTGAAGACGGAGAGACAAATCTGCATATGGAAACGTGAAATGAAAGGACTATACGTAAATAAACTATTTTAAAATGATCTGTAACCTTCTCATCTTTGTATATGGGTAATCATGCCTTTATGGAGACCTTGAGCATGGTCTCCAAGATCTCTGCCTGAGGGAGGGTGAATGAGCCTGTTCTGATATCCAGCATTTGAGCCGAGGCTGTGCTTCCTTCCAGCAAGCTGCCTCCTGACCATGTCGAACAGGACAGAGACCCTCAGGCAAGCCTGTTAGGGGCAATGCCCGAGTCCTTCCATGAGCGGCTTTAGCATCATGACTCTTCAGTTCTATCTCCCTCCTTCTCATCTGTTCTCCTTCACTAGGGTCAGACCTCCACCACCATCTGATGGTTCTGCCAGCCACACTGGATTCCCCGCCTCTGCCTGGTGTCTGCAACAGCTCTTGAGATGCTGTGACTTGGATCCCTCCCCCAAGTGATGGCAGACATCTGGTGGGCAAGTTCTTGGGGCCAAGAGAATTTTCTGCCCCTTTCCCCAAAGTCAGACAGCTGCAGCTTCTCCCCGTTCTCAGAAGCAGGAGACTGTTGCCATTCCCTTAATGCTTACACGTTGTGTTTTATAAAGGATGAAGATCTGGGAAGTCCCTGGGGTTTTATGCCTATGTGCCCAGGGATGGTGCAGGGTGGGGGGTGGAGTCTCCCCCAGATTTATCCATTCCATTCTCTGCCCTGCTCTCCTCAGCAGGCAACACCAGAGGCTCATGGAACAGAGACGTGAGTGAGGACAGACAGCATTGTATCTAGGCTCCTGGGGACTCTAAATTGTCATATTTATTGATTAAAGTTCTAGCTGTTTCCTCACTTTGGTGGAGGCTCTCTGTTCCCTATGACTTGCCAAAGGTGCAGCAGTGCATGTGCCCTTTCTATCCTCAGAGGCCTGGAGACTTTTTGCAGCTCAGCTGGATGGGTGTCCTTGTGATTCTCCGTTCTCTGATCATCTCAAGAAAAGTTAGAGTTGGGGCGTCTGGGTGGCTCAGTGGGTTAAAACCTCTGCCTTCTGCTCAGGTCATGATCCAGGGTCGTGGGATTGAGCCCCACATCGGGCTCTCTGCTCAGCGGGGAGCCTGCTTTCTTCTCTCTCTCTCTGCCTGCCTTTCTGCCTACTTGTGATCTCTGTCAAATAAATAAATAAAATCTTAAAAAAAAAAAAAGAAAAAAAAAGGGTATTGCCGAGTATTTGGCTTTTCTCATTTTTCATGTGAGATTAATGTTCTCTTGTAGCTTTCTACAGGCTGAGCCTAGGGAAAGCCACTACCTCTTGTTTTAAAAAAATCATTTGTTTCTGTATCAGGGTCTTATCTTTGGTGGGTTCAGCAGAGCCAGAAAGAGAAGGTATATGTAAATCGTATATTATGTTCTAGGTACATGACATCATTAGGTTATCAAACAGTCCACATGCCTCTCAAGGCCATTCTGTCAATGTATGGAATGGAAACACTTTCCAACCATGGAGTCAAGGATATAGTGTGAGTCAAGGTTCCCTGAGCAGATTTCCAGCTCAACAGGGAGACATTGTTCCTGGTCTGTTTGGCTCTGGGTCATTGTTAACACAGTTACCTTGTCCTTTCCACCAGGTGGTTGACCAGATTGATACCCTGACCTCCGACCTCCAGTTGGAGGATGAGATGACCGACAGCTCCAAAACGGACACCCTGAACAGTAGCTCCAGTGGCACGACTGCCTCCAGCATCGAGAAGATCAAAGTTCAGGCCAACGCACCCCTCATCAAACCCCCAGCGCACCCGTCTGCGATCCTCACCGTTCTGAGAAAGCCAAACCCTCCGCCCCCTCCCCCGCGGTTGACCCCGGTCAAGTGTGAAGACCCGCCGAGAGGGGTGCCTGTGGCCAATACCCTGAAGACCAATGGCACCCTCCTGCGAAACGGAGGCTTCCCCGGGGCACCGAACAAAATTCCAAACGGAGACATCTGCTGCCTACCCCCCAGTACCTTGGACAAGGCTCCCGTGCAGCCTCTGACGCACAGACCTGACAAAGACAGGTGTCCCCAGGCAGGGCCTCGGGAACGAGTTCGGTTTAATGAAAAAGTGCAGTACCATGGCTATTGTCCCGACTGTGATGCCCGGTATAACATAAAAAACAGGGAGGTCCATTTACACAGCGAACTTGTCCACCCACCGGGGAAGCTTCCTCACCCAGGCCCTCCCCTCCCTCCTCCGCCCCACCTCCCTCCTTTTCCGCTGGAAAATGGGGGGCTGGGAATAAGCCACAGTAACAGCTTCCCCCCTCTCAGACCTGCAACTGTGCCTCCTCCCACTGCACCAAAACCACAGAAGACGATCTTGAGGAAATCAACCACTACAACAGTGTGATGTATGCCATTTCCAAAACCTTTTCGTTTTGGTTTTTTTTTGTTGTTGTTGTTGTTGTTGTTTTTGTTTTTGTTTTTTAATTTCTATACTATAAACATAAAATAATAAGTAATGAGCACTTTCTACTCAAGCAATAAAAAGCCCAAATATATTAATCCTGCATTCAGCAAAGTGGCATAAAAACCACCTGGTAAGTATGCACTATGTCGTTTATATCCCGGGTACACGGTGTTTACACAGTTGCAACATCAGAAACCACAGAACCACGAAAAAGCTGAGTTTTTTGTTTCTTGCACCCGACCTAGGAGAAACAGTGGCCTGTAGATTTCAAATGGTTTGATTTACCATCAGAGGTGGAATTAGATTCATTTTATTCATGTCTAACTCATCTATGCACTAATAACATGTCACCCTCCTAACTTTGGCCAGATGCTTTTTAGGAAGAAATTTTAATACCGAAGGACTATTTTATTATTTTTTCTAAAGATGTTTGTCACTAGTTTTACATTATGAAATGCCGAGAACAGTACCAAAAAGTTTATTTTCTATACTATCCAATAATGATTATATGTTTCCCCTATATATGTAATGAAAGATTTTTGTCTGTGGAAATATCATACGTCAATAAACGACAGTACCTAATGGCAAAAGCACCCGTTCCTCAGAGCGGAAATGAAGCAGTGGTTCATTGAATCCTGTGTGAATAGTCATCAAAATGGGTAGCTACTCTGAAAAAGTTTGGAGAAGATTACAGTGAGTATCCAGCAGCATTTTCTAAATCAAATATCATTATCAGGTCATAAGTAGTATTTCCACATTTTCATGTTATGCCTTGTGGTACGCCAAGGCCATATATTGAAGGTCTCCTTGACCCAATACATGGCCAAACCCTTTAGATCTTCTCACACTCCACGTCCCTCCCAGTCACACCATAAACCAGGACACTGAAGCAGTGGGATGAACTACCTCCCTCAACAGCAAGTTCTCTGCCTCCCCAAGGGAATCCCCATTTATAAGAGAATCATAGCAGAAAATAAAGATGCTTCTGGAATAGGATGTTCTTAGTATCAGCCTTAACGCTGTTTCCCCTCACAGTTGAAATATGCCAGGGATCTTTGTTATTTTATAGAAGCAAGAGAAGACATCTTTTCCTCCTGACATCTTACAAAGGTCCTTCTCTTAAGACTAACTTGCCAGCTTATGTCACTTGCCCACTTGTGGATCAAGTTCACTTCCCAACTACTGTGATTTGGACAGATTGCATATTTTGTTCTGGAACTAGAGATGAGTTCATCTGTCCTAGAATCATGATGACAAGTGCATACCTGAACAAAAGTCCATTAATTGGCAAGAGGAGAGGGAGTTCTCTTTGGTGAAATTTTGTTTATTGAGCAGCTTAATAAAAAAGATATTATAATTTTGGGACTATTTGGCTTTTGATCTCAAAAGTTTAATTTTTGTTGCTATGAGGAGGCTGTCTTGTTTCTTTGTTGCCTTTTTCAAGCCATATGATGGTAATATGGAATACTGTTTTTCAACAACTTCTTATTAAAAAATGGTAATGTACCTTAGGCAGAATAACAGAGGGAAAATGACTTTTTGAAGGAGCAATTAAATGAGTGAAAAAATAGAAGATGTCGTGTTACAAATTTACTCAGCATGATTTCGTTCCTGTGTGTGTTGGCTGTGAAGATAACACAAGCACTATAAATCCATTTTTTTTTCAAAAAGTTACAGAATGTAAGACCAATAATAGAGAAAAGCCACAATCTCAAATATATTAATTATGCGATAACTATATTTAATAAATCTGACCCAAGTAAACACAGAATTGACTTTCCTAATACCAAGCTAATATATTCTTAATTTTTTCATGCATTCATTTAGACTTATTAATAAACCCAAACTTTCATCATTTTCTAGATTTTAGTAATTACTTTCTTTTAAATGTGCAGCCAGTGTCAGACCATATGGTATCACAAACAGTCTTGGAAGACACACAGCTTTCTCCCTTCAGCTCATCTTCCTTTCACAGCAAGTTACCATGACCTAATAATTAGCTTTTCATTTGAAATGATGACCCCTGTCAATGTCGGGGAGCCAGTCTGGATCTCAAGGTAAGAACTTCCTAGCGACCACAAATCACTCCAAGTAACTCAATTACAATGAAGTGGGTTGAATAAGCTGACTAATTAAAGCCAATGGAAGAAGGACCTTGAACCAGGTGCTTAGTCACAACCTGCGAGGTTGTGTCTAAGTAGAGTCAAAGGTACCCCACGCACAACCATCTTTTTAAGCGTCATTGTTGACATTGCTAAAAGTGGCAATATCTGTTCTCATTCAACACTTGTCCAAGCAGCTTTTGGCCTAAAAGGCCAAGTTAAATCCTAACCTCAAAGTAGAGTCAAAGGTACCCCACGCACAACCATCTTCTTAAGCGTCATTGTTGACATTGCTAAAAGTGGCAATATCTGTTCTCATTCAACACTTGTCCAAGCAGCTTTTGGCCTAAAAGGCCAAGTTAAATCCTAACCTCAAAGAGTTAAGAGGGGTTGAACTTCTCTTATTAGTTTATTAAATATTCAGATTCAGTGTTAGATTATATCAGTGTTGGGACTTTCTTTTGAGTTTATTTATTCCATTATTTCATTTTTTTCTTCTTCCATTAAGGTTTGAGATACGTTGGGCCAATAAGGTTTTTTTTTCGTTTTGTTTTCTCCCCCCACCCCCCGCCGGCAGATCACTTTGAAACATTCACCGGAACATATGTTTTTAAATAGATATAAACTTGTAAAACAGGGAACGCAACTAACAGAGGGCAACATAATAAACTTATAATTAAAGTGTTGCAAGTGACCTTGCCACTTCTGTCATCAGCCAACATGGCTTTCAAAATTCTAATTATCTAATGCAGGCTCTGCACATCGGCCATTAAATTATTGTAAAACATGGTACATGGTTGCTCTTCCCAAAGATCCCAAAGCAAACCCTTTGGGGCAGTTCTTTTTCCCACTGTGCATTTGAAGACTTGCATGACCAAGCAGAGTGAGCACCACTCTGTGTGTGTCTCTATCCTCTTTGGAAGCTGATGTTCCTACAAAATGTCCAAGGGTAAGGCTGCCTATGGCAACATTCATTCGAGTGAAAGGTAGAACATGGACTTTTTTTTTTTTTAAGTAGCATCTCTTAATTAAATTGGAAAAGGAAAGGATTTCTCTTGCTAGTTTAAACAACGATGATCCCATTTGGGGGATGGGAGGTTATTGTATCTTGTCTTTTGAAAGGCAAAAAGAAAAGAAAAACTGACCAAAGTTTTCTTCCATCCCTGAGCAGTTACAGGAGTTATAGAAGGAGATAAAACTGATATTCTTGTTAGGTCATACTTAAGCTAAATTTAAAGTATCTGCTCAAAAATACTGGGCATGCAGAAAGAAAAATTCCCCACTCTTTCCATTTGTTATTATTATATTCATACTTTCCCTCATTAGCTTAACATTATTCTAGGGAAAAATGACTGGTATTAACTGAAGTGGTTTAATTAACCTAAAAATTCTTGTGTTTGAATTATGCCTGCATCTAATTATTTAATGAATAAAGGAATAGGGCACTGTATTATAGGACTTTCTTTGGACAGACCAGTAGTTGCCTTTAGCATTACCAAGAGCAGTAGCTACGCACCGTCTTTGAAACTATGCAAGACCTTTTATCTACAGATTCTAATTATATAGTTCTTTTTGGATGCTCTGTGAAGAAAAGCCTGAGTAGCTTCACATGCATTTGTGCTGGGAATGATGTAATCAAGTCATGAGTCACTGTCTGGACTGAACTTTTTCCGTGGAATACATGCACTACTGCAACGTCAAGTCTTCTACTTGTTCCGGTTCCGTTCTTTCTCCTGACTCTGTTGGTAGCACCTTTTGCTCTAAAGTACACCCAAATCTGTAGCAGGAGTTTGCAGTGTAATGTACTTTGGTATGTACTGATGATTTCTAAGTGAGGAAATGATTTATGAGAATAAAGTTGCATTAAAAACACACATCATGAAATTAGATAAAGTGCACAGAATCTGACACTTACTAGACGCTATCACTGAATCACATGACATTTTCCAGGTCAGTCCATAAGTGGGACGGTACATTTAAATGTTTCGGCTAAACACGTGGGAGTTTTAGCATCCTTCAAGTTGCTCGATTCTGAAATAATGGCAGATGTGATACCCATTAGGGTACACAGCAGTGTGGAACATAAAACCGCTGTTAGCCACGTCATCTTGGAGCAACAATGATGCAGGGTGTCATTTTTGTGAAGTCCTTGGATCTATCATTCCAGTCTTTTGGGGAAAACTAAAGTGGAACATAAGCCCTGCAAATAACCCTCCCTGTAAAAAGTAGTTAAATCAACACGTGGTAGAGACTCGTGCACAGGCCATGGGAAAACAAGGAGGAAATATTGCTTATCACATTGACTTCTAGATTGATCAAGGATAGGTAAGCTAATATTATTAACTACTTTTCTGAAACTCTGCATATGTTAGAGTTCCTCCAAGTTCCCCTATGAATGTATAAAATAGATGATATTACCCTGATCTACAAGTGAAGGAATCCAGGACCTCAGTTTTAGTATTTTGCCAAAATAAAAATCAACCCCTGGGTAAGTGACTGTGCTGGCATTTGTGGGTTTTTTTGTTTTATGTTTTTTTTTTTTTTAAACAGCTTGACTCCCCATAATTTCCCCCCATAAAGTTGCTACTTAATTATATTCTTCATATCTCTGAACTTTGCAAATCTTTCTTTTATTCTGAGCCATTATTTTGACATCTGAAAGGGGTTACCTAATGTTATTTTGACATTCTTAATATGTTTGATCTTTGCAGAATATAAAAGGGATTTCAGGCAATTTAGGAACCATCTAAAGTGAATGAGCTGCTGAATAATGCCAGTCTCATTTTCTTGTGGATTATACCAGCAACTTTACCTTTCAGGGTTTTTTTTTCCCCTTTAAGTTCAAAGGCTGTCTATTATTTTAGTTTCTTTGCCTAAAA